GTAAATAAACAGACATGATATTTAAACAGTGAAAACAAAGACAAATATGTTTCAAACTTGCATTGTATTCACCCAAGTCATTATTCTATCATAGTTCACAAAATGCATCAGATAACAAAGAAAAATATGTTTCAAACTAATACCCTGAAGTTAGTATTTGTCTTTGTTTTGTCTATTGGTTGAAGTAATGCAATCCATTCAAGTTTCAATTTGCAGAAGAAGAAATAGTTTACTTTCGCAACACGAAACTTAAAATCGCAACGCGAAACCAAAATCGCAACGCGAAATGAAAATCGCAACGACATAATCGCAACGCGAAACCAAAATCGCAACGACAAGATCGCAACGCGAAACCAAAATCGCATTGCGATTTTCATTTCGCGTTGCGATTCTTTCGTTGCGATTTTGGTTTCGCGTTGCGATTCTGTCGTTGCGATTTTCATTTCGCGTTGCGATTTTGGTTTCGCGTTGCGATTTTAAGTTTCGTGTTGCGAAAGTAAACTATTTCTTCTTCTGCAAATTGAAACTTGAATGGATAAATTTACTTTCAACCAAAAGACAAAACAAAGACAAATACTATTTCACAGTGTTAAAGAATACACAGTTTAGCAGAATTGGCAGCAACCGAACAAATTTACTTTCAACCAAAAGACAAAACAAAGACAAATACTATTTCACAGTGTTAAAGAATACACAGTTTAGCAGAATTGGCAGCAACCGAACAAATTTACTTTCAACCAAAAGACAAAACAAAGACAATACTATTTCACAGTGTTAAAGAATACACAGTTTAGCAGAATTGGCAGCAACCGAACAAATTTACTTTCAACCAAAAGACAAAACAAAGACAAATACTATTTCACAGTGTTAAAGAATACACAGTTTAGCAGAATTGGCAGCAACCGAACAAATTTACTTTCAACCAAAAGACAAAACAAAGACAAATACTATTTCACAGTGTTAAAGAATACACAGTTTAGCAGAATTGGCAGCAACCGAACAAATTTACTTTCAACCAAAAGACAAAACAAAGACAAATACTATTTCACAGTGTTAAAGAATACACAGTTTAGCAGAATTGGCAGCAACCGAACAAATTTACTTTCAACCAAAAGACAAAACAAAGACAAATACTATTTCACAGTGTTAAAGAATACACAGTTTAGCAGAATTGGCAGCAACCGAATAAATTTACTAAGCAATCTAAGTGAAATGGCTAATCTAAGTGAAATTACGAGTAAATTTATCATTAAGTTAAATATGGAAAATCTTAAACTTACCTCGTTGCGTAGAGTATGAACCTCATTCTGCAACGATACTATCATCTCACGTAGAGCGGCAACCTCACCACGTAAAGTTGACACCTCCACACGCCATGCACCATCGTTATCGCGTAGAGTACCGATCTCCTCACGCAAGGCATTGACCTCATCACGTAACTCCCTTGACTCATCCCGTTGAGGTGGAGGTGGAGAACAGGTAGATAGGAGTCGTGGCATCTTTGCCGGTCGCCTATCATGAGGTGATGGCGGAGAAGAGGCTCGATGATGTGACGGGATAGGTGATGGCTCTCGTTCTAGAGATGTATAGTCGGGTCGATCGGGTGATGGCTCTAGGTGAGGTGATGGCTCTCGAATTGGAGGAAGTGGATGCTGCTCATCATCCGTGCCATCAAAAAAATTCTGACTAGCTTGCCACCAATCAGTGGCAAGCTCTTCCTCCGTGGGTGTCAGTCTTTGTAATGGAATGTTGGCCTCCTAAAATATAAAAACTCAAACAAAGTTAAACGTCTACTATTAATAACTTGTTTATATATTATATGAAAGTATTTGTGTTAACTTACATTATTTATTGTGGCATATGGTATTAAGTCTTCCCAATCCAACAGAGTTTTCCTCTTCCAGGAAATAGCCCTGGGAATATCATTTGACGTTTTTATTGCATATGTACGCATGCTGGGGAAAGCCTCGAATATCCAAATCTACAAACAATATAATAACAAAATTAGTAATTGTTAAATAATTAATTATAATTTTAGAAACATTATATAGAAATTCTTACCTTAAAGGCCCAAACAAAGCCTGACAAAGTGTATTTGGACCCATCGCCCCGCAAACTTTTGCGGTCATCAAAGGCAGACGACAACTTAGTCCAGGTAGCTTTCCATATATATGAACCCCACGGAAACAGATTCCATGCATTCAGGTCCTCTACCAATATTATTAGCTCCCGATGAATAGGTTGTCTGGCCTCTCTGCCTAAAAAGCCGGCATACACAAGTATTAGAAGGCATACTCGGACAACATCGACATCTTCCATCCGAGTGAAACCAGCTTTCTTATTAAATAATTTCTTCAGGTCGTCGACATGTAGGTTCGGCTTCTCCATTGACTCATCCGGAAAAACCCGGGATAACCATGATGGGCGGGCGATATGACGAGTGTACCGGCCTACATCATCGTGTCCGAATCGTAGACCAGTGATTAAGCAGAACTCCTTCCGCCCAAAGCAAGTATACGCTGGTGGAAAATGAAACCATATCTCTTCCTCACCACGTTGTATACTGTCGGGTAGATTTGATGTCATGGTCTGAAGCCACAAATGGGTCAAATTAGCATCTCCACCCGGATGCTGTACTCTCAGCCATGGCCCGAAGCAGGTTTCCTCAAACAATTGTCTTTGAGCAGGTGAAAGCTTCTTTGCAATTGTAGTGGCCAGGCTGACTTTATTTCTCAAGGTCAATTGAGCCGAAAAAAATTTCTACAAAAACAATAAACATACCAAGTTAGATATACCAAAAACTACACTGTGAAGATATACCAAAAACAATAAACAAAAAGTAGTAGTTTATTCTTGAAACTAAAATTTGCAACACTGTTTTGTCTTTTGGTTGAAATGAAAATCGCAACGAGAGAATCGCAACGCGAGATGACAATCGCAACGAGAGAATCGCAACGCGAAATGAAAATCGCAACGAGAGAATCGCAACGCGAAATGAAAATCGCAATGCGATTTTGGTTTCGCGTTGCGATTCTCTCGTTGCGATTTTCATTTCGCGTTGCGATTCTCTCGTTGCGACAGTCATTCTCTCGTTGCGATTTTCATTTATCTCGTTGCGACTCTTCTGCAAATTGAAACTTGAATGGATTGCATTACTTCAACCAAAAGACAGAACAAAGACAAAGACAAATACTAACTTGAAAATCGCAACGAGAGAATAGCAACGCGAAATGAAAATCGCAACGACAGAATCGTAACGCGAAATGAAATCTAAGTGAAATGGTTAATCTATTATTGAAATGACCAGTAAACTTATCATCAGTTTCAATATGAAAAACCTACAATAATGCAAACATTTCAAAATAAAAATAATTAAAAAACTAACCCTCGGAGGTTGATTTTCCATTTCTGAATATTGTGAGGGATTTCTGACCGTGAATGGTTGTGAGGGATTTCGCCGGAGATGGGGACGGAAATCTTCGGAGATGGGGACGGATTTCTTCGCCGTAGAGAGTGAGAGATGGAGATGGGACTGAGTTGTGATTTTAGGTTTTAGGTTATGAGTTGCGATTACGGGATTTTGTCTTAATATTCTTTTTGTAATTTGAAAATAAAATACGCGTAGCGATTATAATGGCGCTTTAAATATCGCGTTGCGATTTACGGATACGCGTTGCGATTTTATGTATTATCGTTGCGATTTACGGATACGCGTTGCGATATACGGATACGCATTGCGATTTACCCATACGCGTTGCGATTTACGGATACACGTTGCGATTTACGGATACGCATTGCGATTTATGTGTTCGCGTTGCGATTTTCATATTCGCGTTGCGATTATGGAAAATCGCAATGCGAATTTGTACTATCGCATCGCGATTTTCAAGAATCGCGTTGCGATTTTGGAAACTGATTTGCGATTCTGGAAACTGATTTGCGATTCTGGGGATCGCGTTGCGATTTTTATTTCGCGTTGCGATTTTGTTGGTCATTTTGGCAAATCCAAAAAAAGTTGGTTAAAATCGTATATTATAACTTTTTTTTGGTCACTGAGGCGATTTTCTCTTAAAGAAAAACACTGAAATTTGTTTTTCTTTTAGTGCCTGAACACAATATTTATCCGAAAAATAATTGAAGTCCGCTTTTAGTGCAGAAATGATACTTCTTCAAACCTATCACTAATTGACCCTTTTCACGTAAACATCTCTAACAATAGGATGACGTAGCTATACACATCACCTTTTGTTAACAATTATATATATAATTTGAATTTGTTACGAATTTTTAATTATTTATTTAATTTAAGATATGTGTAAAACTAAAAGAGTTTTACATTGTGTAACAGGATCTTTTATATATATATATCGAGTTGTGGAATACAAGGAAAACTCATGTGATTGTGCTCTTTTTGATCTTTATGTTAATAGTGGATTATTACTTCTTTCATCTATGTAGGTAGATAAGGCTGAATCATATTAAATTTTATATATTTTCTATGTTTTGTTTCATGTTGATCTCATGTTATGTACTTCTCCACTTACAAATTCCTGACATAAAACTAAAAAGGAAATAAAAATAACAAAAAATTAAAAAGCACTTGCTCTTGAAATAGAAAATCAAAATCGACAACAACTCCTCTATTAAACGAGCTTGAGATGATGAAAAAAGAGCATTAGAGGTTTAATATATGGTTTTCGTCTGGCCTACTCTTTTTCAAAGATTAAACAATTTCATTGAAGTTGATTTTGATTTTGACTCTTAAGACATCACCTAGTTTGCAATAAATTTTCAGACGAGGTTCGGACATTTTCATGGCTATATGTCTTCTTGAAACATGACATGCTCTAAGTTATTTTTCTAACACTTTAATCAGATATCTGAAATTCAAGTTATGCTTATTTTAGCTAAGGCATCGGGTGTGAAAAAAATTGAATATGGATTTAATATGAAAAAAAATCTCACTTATCGTAAAAACAATAACCACAAATTATTTAGAAAGCCCTTGGTGTGGATCGAACACACGACCTTTTACTTACGAAGCAAACGCACTACCACTTTGCTACAAAGGCAATTGTTCAATAACGTATTTCAACAAACTTTTCATTTCATATACATAAAATTTTATAGGTGAAATACCTGAAAAAAGCTCTGAAGAAATTGATATAAGTGATAAGATCCAAAACTCCAAACATGACAACAAAAGGTTCTAAAAGCCAGTAAAATTGAACACTTAAGTTGGCAAACATAGGAGAACCGGTTACTTGATATAGGTTCCAAATCCTGAGCAAAGAAGGAGAATAAGTAAGATTCTCACCAAAACCATCCTGCTCAAAACATATCGAAACATGGAAAATCACATAAAAATGCATACAAACATACCTTAACAAATGATCTCATGTTAGCTAAACGCTTGATACATACTTGATTTTCACATTTAACATATTTAAAGTAAAAATCCATACACACGTAATGTCACAACAGAACATACACATTTATGTACATAATTAAGACCACATTCGCCTAATCCAAGCTTACAATATATTTTAGATTTTTTGACTCACTTGATAATCTTCTCTTTTCCTTTTCTCTTTGAAGTCTCAACCATTTATTGAACTTTAAAAAAAAAAAGCATAATGATAATATCAAGCACCAAAAACGCATATTTACTATAAATATCATGATCAACTTTCATGCATGATTATTGAATTAGGGTTTTGTCAATTTCAAGACCTTGATAACTACTCCATTAATCTATGTTAAATTAAGAATAATCACATGAACTCTTCATATCTCAGCATAAAAGTGACATGCAATTAGGAAATTTCTTTGGTTTTGATATTTTCTCTCTCTAGGTTTTTGGAGTATTCAACAATGATGCATGGCAGTCAGTTCAATGAAAAAGATGAAATGGAAACACAAGGTTTTGAGGGTCAGTTTGGTAGGTAGTAGTTTCTAAAGGTAATGTATTGTTTAGTTTTTCATATATAAAATATAACTTATATGTTATAAATACGAGAAATCTAAAATCTAATAGCATGGCATATATACATCGAATACCACTAAAATTGGCTTAGGGTTTAGTTGCCATATTAATTTTATGATCCAAATTTAACAAAGTATGAATAATTTAAAATTAATAAAATATTCATTTACAAATTTTTTGATTGTTTAAATCAAGCATTTTTCTAGTTTATAATTTAAGAATGTTAAAAAAAGGGTAAATGTTAGGGAAGTCGGGCTCTAGGAAAAAGTATAACTAATAGTAGAAGGGGGCGGTGATGGGGTGAACGATAATAGGAAGAAAAGAAAGAATAACAAAAAGTAATTGTATGAAAAAAAGAGATAAAACAAAAGAAAAATGTTGTTTTAAAGAAGGGTAAAGTGTACAAATGGTCCTCCTTATAGGGTGTTGTTTTGTTAAGTCCTTAAAGTATTAAAAGTTATAAAATAGTCCCCTGACTATAAGATGTTGCTTTATTGAGTCCATCGACTATTAAAAGTTACATAATGATCACCCGACTATTCATATGTTCCAATCTTATCCTTTTCCGCTAAAAAATTGACGATAGTTTGAACTAGACGTTAATTGATTGACTAGGATATGAAAAAATTTGATCTTATAACTGTTTGTGTTGTATTTTTAGATGTTAACCTATTGACGTCCAGCTCAGACGACCGTGAATTTTTTAACAGAAAATCACGAGTTTGAAATATATAAATAGTCGTGTGATAATTTTGTAATTTTTAATATTCCAGAGACTCGACAAAGTAGCGCTCTATAATTAAGGATCATTTTGTAGCTTTTAATAGTTGGAAGACTCAACAAAGTAGAACTCTTTAGTCAATGGACCATTTGTGTACTTTACCCTTTAAAGAAAAGAATACACGAGAAGAAAGTGAAGGTGGAAATCAACAATCGCTACCAGTGAATTAAGATCTTGAAAAAAAAAAGGACTAAACGACCAGGGTTTGAAGGTTTTATTTACATGGATTTGTTTTCACCTTACCAAATACAAGAAATAAGAAAACTAAGAAACCGTAAAGATTAAGAAAATTAATATTTAAATTAATTAATCACATTATAAAAGTAAAAGATTAAAAATACTAAATTAAAATAGTAAATTACAAGTTCGAGTATAGGCCCCTAGCCTGGAGTACGAACAGCTAAACATCAACCAATATCCTTACTAGAACGTATATTCTTTGTTGTGCTTTATTATTATTAGTAATCCAAGGTGATAACAAATAGTATATATTTTAAATTTTTTAATTATTTGACAATAAATGTTTAAATATATTTGCAGTCTCCGGTACTTCAACCTAATACATTTAAAGATAATAATTATTTCTTTAACTAATGAGCAATTTTTATTCGTGCTTATTATTCATATTTTTATAGTGAAGTTAAGAAAATAAATGATATAAATGTAGACACAAGTTTTTTGTTTGGATCGTACTATTTTATTATTATTATTATTATTATTATTATATTTTTTACATATTACAAGGCCCAATCGACCCAAATTTCAAACCCAAAATCGGGCCCAAATAAAAAACCCTAAGCCCAAACCTAAACCTAACACTACCCATCTTAGACCAAGTAACTCCCACCGTTGTCACCGCCTCAGTCGGTGTCATTCCCGTCGCCGTCAGCTCCTGTCATTGCTGAAATCTAAAATCAAATCAACAAAAATCACATAAAAATAATAAAAACAAAAAGATCAAACCCACTCCCCGAAAAATCCTGGGAGCCATGCCCTTCTGCCAGCACTTTTTACCAAACCCATCAACAGCAGATTAAAGGGGCATCTTTCATTGATTTTTTAGGGGAAAGAATGAGGGAGAAGAAAAAAGGGAGATAAAAAAGAGAGGAGAATGCATGAAAAAAAAGAGAAAAAACCGAGAGAATAGAAAGTAAAGAGAAGCTAATCTGATTTGATCGTCGTTGGGGGGCTTGAAAATCGTCGTAACTCTGAGTTTTTCAGAGGTATTCCTTTAGATCTAGGCTTGATTATTCGCTTTTAGGCTTATGGGGCTTTAGATCTAAGTTGTGGAGGCTAAGACGGTTGTTTCGAGGTAATCCTTGCAGCCTTTGGCCACCGTGAGCGGCAGTCATCACAGTGGCCGAATCTTTATTCTCATGGAGTTGAGAAAATGAGAGAGATAGGGTGGGGGGAAGAAAGGGGTAAACGGTTGAGGTCAAAAAAATGGGGCTAGGGTTTTCTGAAAATTATAATGGAATATATAGTAAACTCAGAACGACGTAGTTTTAGATTAGGGCAACCTTGCTAAACTGTGAGGGCTATTTTTGCAAGGGTTTCGTCTTTTGTAAGCTTTCCGTTTCAGTCACTAAGTGAAATTTTGCTTTCTTTTAATATGGCCTTTAAATTTTACGCATGTTGCATTTTAGTCATTACTTTAATTGTTATGGATTATTTACGTGTTTAACTCATGTTACTTTAGTTTTATTCGATTTAGTCTTGCGTGATGATGTTTATATTTAGTTGTATATGTAAATATATTTTCCATATAGTATGATGTCTACTTTTAATAATATACCCTTTAATTTTATTTCCAATTTCATTTTAATTTCCTTTTTTTATTTAATTATTTGGCTCACTTTCCATACCTTTTAAATTTATAAGTTTTCTTTCCATGTATTTGCATTAATCTCGTTATTGTATATTGATTTATTATTAAATATGTTTCTTTCCTTAGTTATGCGCATTTGTTTTATTATAATATATATAGTAAATGCATTTATGTTGTAGTGTGTGGCTATTAACGTGTATTTATATAAATAACTTTTGAATACATGTTGGCTTTTATGTTAGTGTTTTGTATTAAATGTGATGAATATTTTGAATTAATGTTAAGTCTATTTATTTAGTATATTTAAAAAAAACTTTGGTGCATATAGGTCTAGGGTTTAATTTGAATTAATTTGTATTATACCTTCATAAATATTTCTTGACTCAATCAAAATAATTTGAATAAGGGAATATTCGTTTATTTTGAGATTGAGGGAAGTGATTGTCTTAAAGAATAAGAGATCACTTTCAATAGTCTTAAAATAAAAGGGTATCCTCTCACTCGAAACAATAAAAATTGATTTCACTTAAAACTTGGGATTGAGAAAAATATCATGTTCTTTTAATTTAATTTATCGAGAAAAGGCTGCTAGAATGGATCTAAGGTTTAGTCTCCATGTCTTTAAATAATTGAACATTATTATTCTCATTAAAGGTTGATAAAATAGTTAATTAATTGTATTCATTTAGTATATGCCTTTTAATTTTCGTCTTATTTTGTATGTGTTTAAAATGGATATCAAAATATATTATATTCGAGCATATAAGTGTTATTGTAAAGACAACTAATTAATTAATTTGGTACTGATGCAAGGCGTTGTGGAGGGTGCTAATTCTTCCCCATGCGTAACCGACTCCCGAACTTGAATTTTTGGTAACATAAATCGTAAATTTTTTGTTTTAATTAAAATTAACATTTTATTAAAAATGATAAATATATTTTTAGATGCCCAATCACACCCTAATCAAAGATTGGTGGCGACTCCACGGACCAATTTTATTGTCTTTTTAAACTCGAGTCCCAAATTGTTCGAGGCAAACGTTTTTACAAAATCCCATTTTTTTTAATCGGCACCAGATTTGAAAAGTAACGTCTCGACAATTACTTAAGAATACTAAAAGAAATTGTAACAAAGTAAAATTAAGAGTGATATCAGTGTAAATTGAAGACGTTGTCACAATATTAAAATATAATACCTACAAGGTTCAGTTTGTGGAAAAAAATTGCAGGAATTTTTGTCCATACTTACTCATGACTGGTTTCAAATAAATTCTTCAAATCCTATCTATTTGAACTTGATCGACTCGTTTAGTGGATTCTACAAATGACTTTTTCTTTTTCTAAAAAAACCAGCTTATACAAAAAAAAATATTAGAGTTTTTTTCCCATTAGTATGTCAATATTAATATTAGATATAATATTTTGAAAGAAATCTTATATAACTGAAGTAATTTGTTTCGCGAAGGTTACTAGAAAGATATGAAGTATTATATACTTTTGGTCCAATGCATTTAGTGAAGAAATAAATAGAGCTTCTATATTGTAGTACAATGACTACATATACTGTTACCAACATTCTATTGATTTTATACGTTGTCATAAATATATTGCTCAAGTTTTTATGACTTTTGAGAACATGAAAGAAATAATATAATAGATTTTGTTATTAGTCAAACTGATTAAATGTAAGTATTTTTAGTTTAGGATTTAACGTATTAAGTTGTCCTATGCAATTGTTTACTTTGTGATCTATGTTTTGTATTTTGAAGAAGTGTTTTATAAATTAATTTGTGTACTGCAATTCATGTTTTCTTCTTACTCGAAATAATTTTATATTATAATTTTTTGAATAGTTTTTTTTTTGATAAGTAAGATTTTATTATCGAGAAGAAAAATACAACAAATCGTCCAAACAGGGAGAAACAAATTACAACAAACTAATGGTTAATTAATACCCCAATTACAGCAAATATTATAGTTACGAAAATTGTTTCTATTGATCTTCTTCCCTCCTAGTTGAATCCGAACAATGTCCTTGATGAGAGACAGTAGATGAGCAGCTTCTCTAGTTTTATGCTTGAAGATTCTTCTATTCCTCTCCTCCCAAATCATATAGATGTAGGAAGTCCATGTAATTTTCAGCAAGGTGGAGATTAAAGATTTTCCTTTCCATTCAACACATGCCCATTCGATCATTTCTTCCCAAGGTAAATGAGGTTTTTGCACATTTGCCAAATTTATGATAGAATTCCACAGTAATTTGGCAAAGTTACAATCAACAAAGAGATGATTCCTGGATTCAATAGCAACATTGCAAAGAACACATTGGGTATCAATGACAATACCCATCCTTGACAGTCTATCCCTAGTTGGAAGTCTGTCAAGGATGGCCATCCAAGAGATCATACTAAACTTAGGAATATGCATAGGAAACCAAATGATTTTATGCCATGACACCTTACTTCTACTATCTCTCACGGCTTCCCAAATATCTCTAGTGTAAATCATACCAGCATTCAGGATGGGAAGAGCAATATGTCTCAGTTTCAGCAGCTTTTTAATATTCCAGCTGTGAGCATTACTTGCGTCCATGTCACATAAATTATTTTTGAAAACATAACAGTTCAGCCAAGCCACCCAAAGGGATCAATTTTTTGAATAGTTTAGGGTGAATACAATGTAATATTTGTTCATAATCGTCCTTAGTCATTGACAACGTGCACACACCCGCCGAAGCAACAACTTGAACTCATGACCTCTAAAGAAAATAATACTCCCTTTAACCTCTTAGACTACTTGATGAATTTCTATATTATATTTGAATTTATTGTAAATTTTATATATTTTAGAGTATTTTTCCCTTTAACATTACACAATCACAAATCCTAAATTTATCATAATCATAACTCTAAATCCTTCCATTCATATGACTTTTTATCCTAAATCACAAAAACAAAAGGAAAAAAAACAAAAATGGGAAAAGATTAGAGATAGTTTTCAAGTATGAAAGCTTTTTTTTTTATAGAAATTCATGACATAAGAGTTGTCATGTATTTATAAAACACTTCAGTACAAAGCAATTTTCTAAAAATTATTGTTATTAAAAGATTTTTTTTATAAAAAATAAGTTTACTAAAAAAATTCTCAAACTATACGTTTTTTCTCATATAGGTATCTAAATTTTTTTCGATCAATATAAGTATCTAATGCTTATCGTTTTAAATATTTCGACCATAGATGTTAAAATATCTATTATCTGGCGCATATCATGTTTATGAAACTTTGAAAATTTTATTTAAAAAAACTTTAAAATATTATTATATTTAAAAAACCTTATTTTCTCTAAAATTATAAAAAAAAAACCCTCAAATATGTAACTCTAATTTTATTCCTCTTATTATCTTTCTTATCTGTCATCTTTGTTATAGCTGTCATCTCTATTTTGTTGTTCCTCTTATTATCTTTCTTATCTGTCATCTTTGTTATAGCTGTCATCTCTATTTTGTTGTTGTCGTCGTCTTTATCATCTCTACCCTGTTGTCTTTGTTATTTTCTTCTCGTTATTCTTGTTGACTACTATAGTGACAATGGATTTAAATATTTAGGATTTAGAGATTTTAGGAGAATTAAAATTAACAATTAGAAATTTAAAATTTAATTTTTTACTTATCATGAATAGAGATTCAACCGTCAGTAGCAACAATGACGTAGGAGGTTAGATCGAGCGATTGTTTGCCGATAGTAACAACGGTAAAAGACGATGATCGATGTAAATAAGAGTTTAAAATTAGAGTTTTCAAAATTTTAAAAAAAAAATTAATTTAAAATTATAGAGTTTTTATAATAATAGTTTTATTTTTATTTTAAATATAAATTTCAAAATTTTATAAACACAACGCATGATAAATAATAAATATTTTAATGATTGTGATGAACTATGTACTTAAAATAATAATATTGATAATATTAGACCCCCATATTGATAGATTATAATATAATTCTTTTATATCGAGTCATTTTTCAAAAATTAATGATAGAGTACGGCTTTACTTCATGTAAAGTACTAATCAATAAAAGTATTAGTTTATTCAAATAACAGAGATGAATGTCATTTTCTTAAATAGTTTAGAAATTAGTGTCATCCCATAACAACGCCCAAGAAAGTATAGTTTGAATCGCAGATGCTATTACTTTCAGAAATCATTTTAAATCTAATTTGAAGATGAAACTTTGATTAGCCGACTTCATTACATATAATTAAAACAACAGCCAGCAATACTGGGAAAGCTCAGGATCATATCACCATCAACACAAATTTTGCAATTCTTAACCAGAAAAAGAAGAAAGCTCGGATTTTACAAATCAGAGACAAAACGAAATGGGTTTTTAATGTACAACTCCTTTGCAGCAGTGGTTTTATAAAGATATCTAAGCGGAGAAGGCTCCATTGAAAGCTTCAGCTCCAATCTGGCTTTTGGGTTCTAAAGCCAACTTGAGTACCTCAATTCTTTGCTGCCCAAGATCGGCCTTCACCTTCTGACCCAAGTTTGCCACCCAAGACACCAAGTCGATCTCGATTTGCTTTTCAGTGTCGGACCCAATTTTGTTTCTGGAAACCCTTAACCTCCTTTCGTAATCCTCGGCAACAAGCATAGCAATATCTGCCATCTCTGAACTCTGTGATCAGATTAAAACCCCGGAAAAAGGAAACGGTGTGACAACTTTGAATGGATAATGTAAGCGGGGGGAAGAAGAGGGAAGTACTTATACAAGAGAAAAGGTGCTGGAATGGAAGCGGGGACTGGGGAGTTAATCGGAATGGATAAGGATGAGAAGCACAGGTAGTGGGTTTAGTGGGAAATAGTTTTAAAAATTAGAAGGTGGGATCTGCTTGGTTTGGTGGTTTTGGGACATGGGTCTTTGTTAATAAAGAAGCTTTCGAAATCCTATGGATTAACTACGTAGCAACTGACACGTGTGTTCCGTACATTATATGTGCTTTTAAGGCAAAAAAAAAGAGAGAGTAAAATACACCGTTCCTCATTACATTATAATCTATCTCCTATTTTACGTATCTTATTTTTAATATTTCTAATTTACTCACTATATTTTTAAATTGTTCATGTTTTGATCACTTTAAATTATTTTATTATTATTTTTATATAACATGACATTTATTTTTATTTAATGTAAAATAAAAACATAAAGCAATTAGATGCCACCGCCAAATTTCATGTCCCAAATTTATCTTAACGTACTGAGTTCGAATATGATGGTTGCTTCACCATAAATTGTCTCAAAACCCATGAATCTCGACTGAAACATTTCGACTTTCTCACTTTTGATTTTCAATTTGCGAACTTCAAAGCAAGTTTCAAATAAATGAAGTGTGGATTCGAACTCGGGGTGTCGAGACAGAGCTACCCATGAAATTTAGGACCGAACGAACACCATGTATTGCGGTCAACAGTGGCATAAAGGCACCTTCTATTTTTATTTTATATTTTCAATTATTTTATATTAAATAATAAAAAATTCTATATCATACAGAGATAATAATAAAACAACTCAGAGTAACTGAAACATGAGTAATTCGAATATTCAGTGAGTATATTAAAAAATTAAAAGTACAATTAATAAAATAGGAGGAGAGTATAATTTAGACAGGAATAGTGCAATATACTCCAAAAATAATGAGCCGTTGTGCTAATAAACCAGTTGTTTTCCTTTGGGGTACCCACAGAATAGAAAAACAGAGGAGCAAAATACAAAACATTTTAGTCGGCTACTGCCCAAATAGTTCCTAGAGTAAACTAGTCAATGTGTTTTTTCACCATGGCCCCGTGATGCCTGATTTCGGTGATTGGAGGACACTTGTCTCTCAATTTGTGGGTTGGTGGTCACAGTTCATCTATGTTAAGATTTCATCTGCAATTCTTTTTAACAATTAAATCTTGAGATAATTACATAAGATATCCTCAAATCATGTCTCTTATTTAAAAATTGATTCTTAAGTTTTAAAATATTTTATATTAATATTTAAATTATGGTTTTCATATTAAATTAATTTTAAAATATTTTATATCAATCCTTAAATCATCAATACAATTCTATTTTGATTATCTTATTAACTTGCTATTAACTCATAATGATCATATCTTGTTCTAAATATTGTTTTCGAAATGTTGGATTCTTTTACTTCGAATAATAGTATGTCGACTTTAAATTAATCTTTGAAAAACTCAAATATTTTTAAGTGATCAAACAAATCGTCGATCCTAAATAGTGAATATTTTGTTCTTCATAATTACCTTGTTAAGTTGTCGATAAAACATAATCTTATTGACCCATTCTTCTTTTTAAGAAAGAATGATGACGATATGTTAAAAGGACTCTTGTAATTGTGCATTCAATTTATTTAATTCTTTCGATGCCATACAATAAGGAGTAATAAACATTGGAACTGTACCTATCATTACCTCTACCTGACAAATCTTCAAGAAACTTGTCTTAAAAACTCACTAATCCTATGAAGATCCTCTAATACCAGACTCAAAACCCTTGAATCCACAACACATACAAAAAATGCTTCACAACCGCTATGAATCATATTCTAGGCTATAACTGCAAAAATAACATAGACATATGAGTTATTCTTCTCACTCGTTATTATAGAAAACTTGTTTATGCTATTATGAATTCTAAAATAATATATTTTAAAATTAATTAAGGTATATATCAAAATGAACATTAAAAAATTTAATTAAATAATGGGAATATCACGCTGATTTATTCTCAATTTTTATGATAATCTCACACTTGCAACCTGAAAGGCATCTCCCACGGTGTATCAAAAACCGGCCGGCAACCCTCCTTTTCTAGGGTCACTAACTGCCACAAGTTCTCCATGTCCCTTCAAACCATCTAAATTTTGAACTATAAAGTGAATAACCGTTGATCCGACTGAGACTTGTAGGACATGGCCTTCAAAATGGTCACTCGTCATTGTCGCAGGAACTTCAAAATGGTCTTCAATCACGGTTGTCCAGTTCTCATACGTCACAACGTTGGGTACCAATGGCATCATCAACACGTAGTGAAAACCATATCAGATAATGAAGAAAAGTAATCTCAGATTGTCGATGGCGAGAGTTTTCAGCATAAAAGAACCTGGTGGTAGACCCTTGGTGCCATAACAGACGAGAGTGGATCCATCCCAAGAGCAAAATGATTCAACAAAACTTGTGTAGTCCCAGCAATGATATTAGCTCCTCCACTTGCACCCACCACCGCTTTCGGCTTCCCATCCTGTAGAATTGCATGAATGAAACTCAATGTTCCCCGAAACAGATAGAAAACAATCGTTTTTTTTATAGATGTTAGATGATGTTTTGAACAAGCAAATCAAACCTTCAAAATGATAGTCGGTGTCATAGTCGATAAGAGCCTTTTGCCGGGCCGGATGAAGTTGGACGGTGCCGGCGGTGGGGTATTTTCAGAGGTATCATTACTTGGCATGGAGAAGTCATCCATTTCATTATTGAGGACCATACCGGTGCTTGGTGACAGTATTTTTTGACCAAAGAATCCAT